CGGCGCCACGTGCCAGGCCAAGCGCGCGTCGTCGTGCGGGCATCTCCCAACGCATTCAGAGGATCCCCCCCATGGCTCTCCGAACTTTCGGGAGAGCCCCAAGACGGCTCTAGACGAGCCATGAGGCCCCCAGGAGAGCCCCAAGACGGCCCTAAGGGCCCCCAAGACAGCCCAAGAAAGGCCCCAACAGGTGCCCAAGACAGGGAATACGCTCGGACACTTCGAGCCTTCCCCCCCCCAAGATGACGTTCGACACCATGTAACCGAACGCCCGCCCACCTCATGCGCGGAAAATGCCCCCCACCCTGGAATTTGCCGTTACTTCCGACGCCGCAGTCTTACCTAAAGCCTGTCTTTGAGCGCGCGTGCCTGTATGCGCGCAACCACTTCGGTGTCTATCCATGCGCTCCTGCACGAAGTCCGGTTCGGAGCGCCCCACGCAGCGATCGTCAATGCTCGCTTTTTCACAAAAGGCCAAGATTCAACGGCGCATGATTTTGTGTATAAATACATCCGCCACTGTGCCCCCCTGGCACGTTGAGGTGTGGAAGAATGCCAATGTCTGCCTGGTAGGGCTTCTGCAATCTAGTAATCGGCGGCGAGCGAGGGGGGGAAGTGAGAAGGGGCGGGCCTTCTCAGAAGGCTCGGAAGTCACCCAGCCTTCTGAGAAGTTTCCTAAGCCTTCCCCAAAGACAGAGAAAACTTCTCAGAAGGCGCGAGGGCTTCTGAGAAGTCCCGTCGCCTTCTAAGAGGGCCTTCTCCTCCTCACTTCCCCCCTCGCTCGCAGCCGAAGTAAGGGACCGCCCCTCCCTCCACCTGCAAACTGTTGCGTGCATCCTTCCTACTCACCGACGCCACTTCGCTCGCGCCCGCTCGAAGATGGTGCGCATTCAGCATGGCAGCTAATGCCTAAATTCACATTCCGCGTGTGCTCACTCGAGGATGGTGCACTTCCCGCATGGCAGCTGACACCTAAACCCCCACTCCACGCGTGCCCGCTCAAGGACGGTGCACTTCCCGCATGGCAGCTGAAGCCTGAACCCCCATTCCACGAGTGCCCGCTCGTGGATGGTGCACTTCCCGCATGGCAGCTCATGCCTGAACCATCATTTCATGCGCGCCTGCTCGAGGATCGTGCACTCCCCGCATGGCTGCCGACTCCTCGATCCCCCATCCCACGCGCACCCGCTCGAGGATCGTGCACTTCCCGCGTTCACAGCCCAAATGCTCCCAAGCGCTGCAGGGCCTCCCAAGCAACGATCCCTCGCTAAAAACGATGGATACGCGCACTGGGCTTCCAGGGCAGCCCGTGCAGGCAACCCAGGATGGCCCAAGATGCCTCGAAGACAGCCCAGGATGGCCCCAAGGCGGCCAGATGTTGATCCAAGACGGCCCAGGATGCATCCAAGAGGGCCGAAAATGGCCGCAAGAGGCCCGAAGACGCCAAAATCATGGATTTCCCCTTGGATTTTGAACGGTCTTCGCCTTCTCGCCTTTTGAGGCTGCCATCGGCTCACGACGGCCCAAGAGGACTCCACGATGGCCCAAGAGGCATCCAAGACGGCCCCAAGACGGCCCAAAAGGAGACTTCTCATAGGCCCTCGCGCCTTCTGACCAGTCTTCTGAGCCTTCTCTGAAGACAGGGACGGCTTCTCAGAAGGCCGGAAGGCTTCTGAGAAGTCCCGCCCCGCCTTCTGGAAAGGCCTGCCCCCTCCCGCTTCCCCCCCGGTCTCGCCGCCGAACGTAAAGAAGAAGCAAAAGCCCCCAAGTACAAACATAGATTGGGGAATACTGCATTACAGGGAGCTTGAGCAAAGCAACTCAGCACGCAGCACAAGGACTTAATGTGACAAGCTTCAAGCTATACACATGTGTTGGGCACTTCAGATGATACACAGCGCCCTGGATTGCGAACTCGGGAACAAGGAACCCAATATGGTTCCAGCAACTCGGGGGGGCTCAAGAGATCAGCCAGATCTGAAGCTGAAGCCCCCAGGGCGGTGCCGAATGCCAGATCGACGTGGCCCACGGTGTCTCGCTGATTTCTGGACGCCCGAAATTTGGTGAGGGCATTTTGGCTCGTCGCGGGCTCGAACACCCTTGTTCCATTCAGGGTCATGCAGGCGCAGCAGCCAAAACATCGAATAGGGGATCGACTACAGAACTGATTTACCCCAAAATTGGCTTTCTCGTCGAATCTGAGAAAATGTGCAGAAGTCTCCATAGATTGCTGAACATTCTAGGTCTTCGTCGTAGATTCGATGAAGAATCAATTTTGGGGTAAATCAATTATGTAGTCGATCCCCTACTCGAAAACAGGTCTTACGCAGCGCCCCGCGGCGCACGACGGGGACCCGCCAGGGGAGCGCAGTGAACTCCACGCCCCGCGCCGCGCCTGGTGCTGGGGTTCACGGTGACGGTGAGGGCCTTGGATAAGGAACCAATGGATAAGGAATCCAGGGCCTCGAAGCCAGTGGAACTTCGATCGCGGATTGGCCATGGATCTCACCGCCGCCCTCATTAGACAAGGAACCCCCCAGGGTCTGAAGCATCCTGGGCACGTCCCTTATCGAATGCCCCTACCGTATCCGGGATGACTCCGGTCCGGGGCAACTCTGGTTTGGGCCCCCGCGGCAAGAACCAGGAGCCACCCCTGACCGCCCCCAGCCCCGGGCCACGGTGATTCGAATGGGATGAACGCCCGAAGCACGCGTCCGCCGCTACCCCTGACCACTCCCAGCGCCGATGACGCGGGGGTCGCCCGAGCTCTCAAGGAAAGCTCCAACCCGGGATAACTCCAGCGTCTGCCCCCGAGGCACGAGTCAGGAGCTGCCCCTGACCGCTGACCGCCCCCAGCCCCGATGAGAGAAGAAGAACGAACGGCATAGGCATAAACCTTTGAAGCTCCGCGCGGATTTCTTGGATCTGCGCTGGACCCCCCTCCCTGGCGGGCAGAGCGCGCCAGAGGCGCCGTCGGGGGCGCCCAGTGCGGATCCAAGAACCCCGCGCAGAGCGCCAAAAGTTCATGTTTGTGGCGTTTTGTTCCTCTTCGAGATTCGGGGCGCTGAGATTTGGCCGCGCGGCGCGCCACAAGCTTGCGTTTATGGCGTGCGCTCTTCTTCCAGGCTCTCCCGCGCGGCAGCTGCAGGCGTTCAGCAGCAGGGAGCAGAGGGCGAGCCGAGGCGAGGCCTCCAAGATGGCAGCCCGCCCCTCGGGGGCCCCCCCCGCTGCCCAGCAGGGGGCCCCCCTTTGGGAAGGCCAGGATGCAGGGGCCCAGGGGCGCAGCAGTACATGGGCACGATTCCCGGATAGCCCGTGGAGAGCTGAGAGGGTTTCATAGTAAGAAGCTGGAGCCGCAGGGTAGCCCCAGAGGTCGCTCCGGCTTCCGTCCAGAGTCCCCCGCACGGCTTGCTCGAGCCTGCAGCGTGTACCGGCAGGCCTTTTCTAAGCGTTTCACAATACGCGTGCCCGGAAGCTCTCCCGAAGGTCCTTCGGAAGCTCTCTCCAGGTCCTTCCAGAGTTCTCCGCCGGGCCCTTCCACGCCCTTCGGGCGCCCTGCTATCTGGGTTTGGGATCCCACAAGTTCCCAGGGTTCCCCCCTTTGCGTCCATACTCTCTGGAGTTTCGTGCCCCCCTACACTTCCCACACCTTTCCCACCTTCTCCCGGGACCCGTCGACTCTTTGCGCCCATGTGCTACGGTCAACCAGTATAGTAAGGATGCGCGATAAGGATGCAAGGGCCTTGGGCGCCCATTTCGAAGCTTTTCGAGCGGGGCGCGGCCAGCGAAAGCGGCGAAGGATGGGCAGAGGAGCCAAGGATGCAAGGGTACCCTTGGGAAGGTTGCCCATCCTGACTCCGCGGGTTGACTGTAGCTCCGTGCCGACGAAGAGGAGGGAGGCCGCGGGTCGAGCCCCCTCTGAAAGGCCCCCTGCCGTCTGGGGGGGTCGACCCCCCCCCACTTTTTTGCCCGCCGGCTCCGCGCCAGCACAGGCTGAGGGGGGGGGGGAGCACGCTCCTGCTCCTCCAGCGGCGAGGTGGCGGCACCGTCGCGGAGCGCGCCAGAAGCAGGGGTACGCTCGGGCGGACCTACACCTGGCGTGAGCAGGCGGGTGGATTGGACGGGCACACACCCACACACACACACGCGCACGCACGCACGCCCACGCACGCCCACGCACACGCACACGCACACGCACACGCACACACACACACACACACACACACACACGCACGCACGCACGCACGCACGCACGCACGCACGCACACACACACACACACACACAGGAGCGCGCGCGCGCGAGCGCGCGTGCACGTCGCCCAGGGAAGCTTTCGCAAAGTTCAGGCGCGTCTCATGCTGCAGGATGCGCAGTTTGGGATGATCGAGGTTTTGAAGTCGTTCGCGACGGTGGTCACACACTGCTGCTCTGTACGAATTAGCCACGTGGACCCATCAAGGATGAGACCTGGAGTCGGTCGCTCACCACTTGGCGAGAAACGATTCAAGAAGAAATGACATCCTTGGCCACGCAGGGCGGGGCCCATGAGTGGAGCCGGGCACGCCTTCCTGGAAGTGCCTGGCGGCCAAATAAAGGACCGCGCCCGCCCATGAGCATCTACACAGCATCTCCCCAGGGGGAAGGAGGAAGAGGACGGAGGACGACGACGGGGACGACGACGAAGAGGGGTTGAGGCCTTGGAGGCGGCCGGAGGGTCTGAACTGGCTGGGACCCGAAAAGATCGGTCAGGAGGGGTGGATGAAGCCAAATCGGCTCAAAATCGGTCCCCGGACCCCGCAGGCTGGTGCAGTTTTTCATCCCGGATCTGATTGTCACGGTCCCGGGACCCGGAACCGGCCCCCGGAGGCCGAAACAAGCCAAAAACCTTCCCGAACCCAGAACGTCGACCCTGCCCGCCCTTCCTGCTGGCCGGCACCTCACGCTGGGCCACCTCAGACCCTCAGCTGGCTCCAAGCTGCAACCACCCGTCAGCGGGGCGGTCCCGGCACAGGGCGTACTTGGGCGGCGGCGAGAGCTGCAGTGGGGCAGCAGCCTCGGCGGCTGGCAGCGCCAGCGGCCCCTTGGGGGCCTCGCGGGCTGGGTGCGCCGGGGGGGGGGGCCATGGGAGGGTGGAGGCAGCCCATCGTGGCCCGAGGCTGCAAGCATTGCACCCTCGGAGTTCTGCTGCAGGGCGAGGTCGGTGACTCGGAGGCCAACGAATGTCTCCGCGCCTGCCGAATCCAAAGGTTGACCCGACCATAACGCCAAGTCAAGCTGACGGCCGAGGGAAGGAAGCAATCCTCGGAATACCCTCTCTCAGTCCCTTCTGCTGCTTGCCTTGTCTGCTTGCGGCTGCGTCCCCTCTCCTACTCTTCCTTGCCTCGTTCCCTTTCCCTCTGCTACCTGTCTGGTGTCTCCGCCCGGCCCCCCTTCCGCCTGCCCGCCCGCCCCGCCAGCCCCGGCCTCCCGACTGCGCGTTCGTGGTCGTCAGCCTGCTTCTCCCCTCCTCCCCCCTTCGACGCGTGGAGCCTCTAATGTCTCTCCGCCTGTCTGGGCACCATCGTGCCAATTTCTCCGTACCGTGCCGACGGGGAAGAGTGCTGCGAGCAACTCTCTGCCGCACCTCGAAGTCGGCCGCCGCCCCCGAAGCGCGAGGCAGATTCCTCGGCATCGGGCCACAGGTTCTGAGGGAACGAAGTGTTCTACATACCTCCGCGAAGCTTAACGCAAGATCTTCCAGCGCCGCGTCGGCACCCCCAGACCCCCAAATTAAAATGTTGATGCCGAAACACGCGAGTTGATTTTTGTTCGTCGGCGTCTCAACACGTAGACTGAAAACGTAGGCCTTACGCGATGCGTTCGCCAGAACACGCAACGTGTTGACACGGACGCTTTGAGCACGGTACGAGTTGCGTTTCAGAACGGTCGTATCGAGGCAGTCAAGCTTGTCCTCACCCCTTCTCTGGCGCCCTGGCAAGCATGGGCCAGACTTGCACTCGAGACCAAGCGGGAGAAAAAACACGGGCGCCGTCTGGCCAGCGCCCCTCGAGCACACAGCCGGCCTCGAGCATCACGCGAGGCCTCGGATGCCGACCGCCGAGCCACGCGAGAGCCCCAAGGGAGCTCCGGGCCCAGACCCGCCCTTCTCACTCCTCCCTCCTGCTTATCCTCCTCCTGCTTCCCCTTCTCCTTCTCCTTCTCCTCCTTCTCCTCCTTCTCCACCTCCTCCTCCTCCTGCTCCTCCTGCTCCTCCTCCTCCCAGACCCCTGGATCAGACGGTGTCGAGTAGGGATATCGGATGGGATCGGAGTGCGCATCGTTCTCGCATCGGGCCGCATCGGCACGAAGTCGGAATCGAATCGGATCAGCCGCGACAGGATGCACAGCAGCGCAGCGAAAGCATCGGGCCGCATCGGATCGTCCGAACATCGGAATCGAATCGGGTCGGGCGGAATCGATATCGAATCGGACCGATCGGACCGAAATGGACTCTAGCGGCCATCTGGATGGGGTCCGAGTAGTTAGATGGGGTCGGAGGATCGCGCCGCATCCCATATGCAACGGCGACGTCGGCGATGCATCGGCGACATCGGCGTAGAGAAAATCGGGCGCCCCATCGAGCCGCATCGGCAATGCATCGGCGATGCGGCGCGATCCTCCCACCCGATCTGGGAGGCCCAGGCGACCCAGGGACCCCGCGCTCGCATCGGCGTGATCTGGGAGGCCCGGGGGCCCAGGACCCCCGCTCGCATCGGCGTGACCGCGCAGCGCACCTTTCGTCCTGATGACCTCGTCGGCAACTTTGGCAGCAGCGGGTGCTCGCCGTTCGGCCTGGCCCGGCCCCTGAGGCGCGCCTCCAAGAGACATCCACACACACACACACAACTTCTGGAATTTAGCGGCCACACACGCACAACTTCTGGAATTTAGCGGCGAGCGAGGGGGGGGAAGTGAGGAGGAGGCGGCCTTCTCAGAAGGCGGCGAGGCTTCCTAGGAGCCCTCCAGCCTTCTGAGAAGCTGTCCGCGCCTTCGGCCTTCGGGGAGGGCTTGGACAACTTCTCGGAAGGCCGGAGAACTTCCGAGCCTTCGGCGGTGGATAAACCTCCCTTTAGCAAACCTCCCCTTAGTGAAAACAGCCTGGGACCGAAACCGACGGACCTGGACCCGCAAAAACGACGGCCGCGACGCCCTCTCGCGAACCGAGAACAGCCAATTCCTTAATCGACGTGTCAGGGTAGGAGGTCGATCCACCTCCGAAAAGAGACATCCACACCCACAACTTCTGGAATCCTACCCCAGGTTCCAGGGGAGCGGCGGCTGTGCCTCCTCGGTCGTTCCATGCCAGCGCGGGGGCGCTGAATGTTGCGACATATTGTTGAACATCTGCCCGACAACCATTCTCGAGACATCCCTTGAATAACCCTGGTACAAACAAAGTCCTCACCCGCAGAGGCGGGCATACGCAGATGGCACCTGCACACCACCGCGGTGCCTGGCCAGGGCCATCCCGGGCCCTGGAACGGCGTGTGCGCCCTCCTGGCGGAGGCCGGGCGGGTCGGCACAGCATCCCGACACGAATCCCTGAAGAGCAGTGCGACTCTCGCGCGCGGTCCGTCTCCTCGCGCCCGTCAAGTGCAACGTTCGCGCTGGGCGCCACGCGATCCGATGCTTCCGCTGTCGGCCGCGGCTGAGATCGGTGGTCTCGCTGAGGGGGGGGCTTGTGGGTGGGGGGCGGAGACACTGCAACAATGGCTGCTGCGCTTTTCCAGGGTGGGGGGGGGGCCCAGGTTGGCCCTGGCATTGCATGGTGATGTATACAGTGGAGGCCAGTCCACAAGAAACCCTCCGCAAGAAACCCAGCCCTGGGACCCCGGGAAGTCCGTTGATTCTTGGCGTGGGCACGTCGCGCTCTCCATCGAAGAAGCACCGAAACCTAAGAAGCCCAGGGCACCCTGGAGTCAAGCAGGGTGTTTTTTGGCATGGGCCTCCACTGTATAGGCAGAGATCCATGCGGCAGGTCTTGTCGTGTCGACGCGGCGGCGACCCCCAGCGCGGACGCCCAGGGTGGAGCGCCGCCCGCGGCCGCTGTCGAGCGATCTGCACTACTGCAGAACCACGCGGCGCGCCGATACGGCGAGGTTGACCCCCGTCGTCGTCGTCGTCGTCGTCGTCGTCGTCGTCGTCGTCGGCGTCGTCGGCGTCGTCGGCGTCGTCGGCCTCGGCCTCGGCCTCGGCCTCGGCCACGGCCTCGGATTTTCCCCCCCCCCGCACTTATCCGCGAGCGCACAGGACGGCGGCTTCGCGTCGTAATAGCTGACGCGGCGGTCTCCGACGCCGCGTGTGCCGCGTGCAGCCTAGAGAGCCCGCGCTGGGGTCGCAGACGTGGCCCCTGCAGAGGCCCGGACCCCTGCCCCGCGGGGACTGGTTCTTCATTCTGAATCGTTTTCTGACGTGGCGTGCTTGTTTTCCACCACCACCACCATAAGTAAGGAGGTGGAAGGGGGTCCTCCTTCTCCTCCTCCTCCTCCTCCTCCTCCTCCTCCTCCTCCTCCTCCTCCTCCTCCTCCTCCTCCTCCTCCTCCACCTCCTTCCCCCCTCTAACATATGGTGGTGGTGGTGGTGGAAAACAGGCTCATCATGACGGGCCCGGCGAGGGCCTCTGGCGGCGGAAGATGGGAAGAAACCTCCCAGCTGAGTTTTGTCACAGCGACACGCGGCCCACGGAAGTCCCACCCCTCTCCCCAGGGCCATTTTGTCATCCCGAGCGATTTTTTGACGGCCCTGGGGCCCGGCGAGAGCCTCTGAGGGCTGCAAAAACCTTGCGTCGCGATTTGTTCCCCAGCGCGAAAAGGTGAGGGATCTGGACACACTGCACGGCCCCCAGAAGCGCCGACCCCCCCCCAGGGGCCAGCGTTTCATCCCGAGTCCTTCTGTGGACGGTCCCTGGGCCTGGCGAGAGGGCCGCAGGGCGCCGAAGCTTGCCTCTGGGCCCCAGAAGCCCCAGGCGGGGGCCAGCTTGAAACCTTCCCCCCCCCCGCGGCAAATCGGTTCCCAGACCCCCTCGAGTCATGAAAAAATCACGACGGGAGGTCTTTCTGTATTTTCGGGCTCTGGGGGCCCCTGCCAGGCCTCGGGACCGTCGAAAAACAACTCGGGATGAGAGACTGGTCCCTGGGAATGGGTCCAGACCTCTGGGGGTCGACGTAATGAAACAATCATGAAGACGCACCGGTCTACCGAGCTGCGCCCAGCAGGAGCGACGAGGGCCCCCCCCCCGAAGGCCAAGTGCCGCTGTCTCGACTCGTACTCCTCTTCGGTGGCAACCCATGGGAGCCTCCCATACCATCTTGTCGGCTCTTGCGAATTCGACGCCAATCGACGCTAAACCGACGCTAAATCGGCGCTATCTCATCCACTCCCAGACGCTAGTCGACGCTAGAGACGGACTTAAGAGGGTATACCTGGCTCCCATGAATTTGCTACCGAACTCCGCTGACCCGACCCCCCCGAGTGACCACAGGGCGCGCTCTTGCACACCTATGGACACCCCCTGGCGTCGGGGATCTGCTGACCCGGGTCAATCCAGACCCGGGTCAGTCGGGCATTGCAGGATCCTGCAGCATCCTGCGCCCAAACCTGGCACAATGCGACCCTGGCCCTGCAGGATCCTGCAAGATCCTGCAGGATCCTGCACCAAACACTGGTCAATGCCACCCTGGGGCTGCAGGATCCTGCAAGATCTGGCGCTCTGGCTGACCCCCGTTTGCACGGACCCCTGTCTCTTGAGCCCCGATGGCGGTGGCCCGGGCGCCTTCCGGCGCCGCGGCAGCCCCGGCACCCACGCCTCGGCGCCCTGGCCCGCGCCGCCCTGCGGCGGCCAGGTGCTGGCCTGCACTGCCCTGAGAGCCGACGCCGCGGACAACAATCTGCCCTGCTTCGCGAAGAACCGCGGCACAGCACCGAACGGGCCAGATTTGGGTGCTGGGAAATCTCCTCCTCCTCCTCCTCCTCCTCCTCCTCCTCCTCCTCCTCCTCCTCCTCCTCCTCCTCCTCCTCCTCCTCCTCCTCCTCCTCCTCCTCCTCACAGCACCGAATGGGCCAATGAGATTGGGGCCAGATTTGGGCCGACTGGGCCAAAATAAGCCTCAGATCTAAACGGATTGAGCACGGGTCAGGCCAGGTGAGGACCCAAGGACGTGCCAGGGCCGAGGCTTACATTCAGGTACGCCCGCCAGGTGCTGCAGCCGAACGATGGAGAGAGAGAGAGAGAGCGAGCGAGAGAGAGAGAGAGAGATCGCCCGTGAGAGCGGCGGCAGGGCAGCGAAACACCAGGCCCTTTTCCAACCCGTGCCCTGCCCAACAAAACACAAACACGACAGAACACCAAACGGGCGACGGGTCCAAGAACTGAAAGCATGGCATGGCACGGACAGTGGATGGGCTGGGGGCACGGCACCACGTGGCACCTCACGGGCGACGGGTGCGGAAGTTGAGGGCGTGGCATCGCACGGCGCCACGTGGGCAGCAGCTCCGATCACAAAAAGCAACTACATCATTCGCTGCTGAGTGGAAGAATCACTAGAGGCTCCGTGGAAAGGCTTCTCGAATGCCGCAAGAAGCGCACAATAAGCAATAAGCCCAAGAGATGCTTACCGCTCCTCCACAGGACCTCAAAAAAGACGCTCACACTGCACATGGTCGTTGGTCTCAGGACGCGCCTGATGCGGAATCCAAAGTACAGCGGCACCTATGTTGCCTCTCGCTGACTTCGGTCATGCACGATGCCAGGAGTCCAACTGCACCAAGTTCTGTAGACCAGGGCCATATCAGTTACGGTCGGGAACTCGTGCATAGCGTGTGGCAGCGGCGGCCCCAGCGGGACGCTGCGCCCTGCAAGCGGATATCGTGCCGCTCTGCCCCGCGGGGTGGAAGAGCTCGGGACGGTGGCGCCTCTGGACCGGGACGCGGTCGGCGTGCTGCGCCGGGGCGGGGCGGGCCAGCACCGGCGGTGCGACACGAGAAGCCAAAGTTCGTGACCATGTAGCATCCAGGGGCCACATGCAAACCCTACCCCTACCCCCCACGACTTCTGAGGGGGAGGGCGGGGTTCGCTTCGCTCGGGGGCTCCCGAGCGAAGTGAACCCCCACCCTCCCGAGCTTTCGCTGGGAGGGTGGAGTCCAAGAGGTCGCCAAGATGGCCCAAGATGCTCCAGCACGGCTCAAGACGGCCCCAGGGCGGCTCAAGAGGGCCTTGAGACGACAAGAAAGAGGCCCTCGAGACGGTCCGAGCGGGCCACACAAGCACCCGCAGCAGGACCCGAAGAGGCCCAAGTCACGTATGTTCCATGCGCTTCGAACGATTCGGGCGTCTTCATCTTTCCGTTGCTCCTTCAGCCTAAGACGGCCTTGGAGGCCTCCAGAATGGCCCGAAGACGGCTCAAGCCTCGACGGCCAAAGACGGCCCCACGACGGCCGCAAGAGACCCCCCAGGCAGCCAAGAGCGCCCCAAGACGGCCCACAAGAGCCCCACAGCTGCCCAAAAGGGCCCCAAGACAGCCCAAAGTGGCCCGAGGAATCCTAAGACTGCCCCACAGGAGCTCAAGACAGCCCCAAGACGGCCCAAATGGGCGCCATGAGAGCTCCTCAAGATGTAAAAACAAAAGGTTACATGTGTGACGGCCGTCCACGTCTTCCTCCTCCTCCTCCTCCTCCTCCTCCTCCTCCTCCTCCTCCTCCTCCTCCTCCTGCTCCTGCTCCTGCTCCTGCTCCTGCTCCTCCTCCTGCTCCTGCTCCTCCTCCTCATCCTCCTCCTTCTCCTCCTCGTCCTTCTCAGAACATCAGCATCATCAGCATCATCATCAGCATCATCATCATCATAATCATCATCATCATCATCATCGTCATCATCATCGTCGTCGTCGACATCATCATTATCATCATCATCATCATCATCATCATCATCACAACCATCATCATCATCACCACCACCATCATCATCATCATCATCATCATCATCATCATCATCAACAACCTCGCCATCGCCATCGCCATCGCCATCGCCATCCTCATTTCCATCACCACAACCAGCTCACCTATCATTACCACAGTATGTATAACTAAAAATATCGTCACCAAATGCGGCATCATCGCCAACCTCATCGTCATTACCATCATCACCAAACTTGTGATCATCTCCCGCGTCTCCACATCCTAGTATAATCCTCCTCCACATCATCCTCCCTCCTCCTCGTCACCATGATACATCCAACATGATATTGATCCGACACCGACACGAGGTGTCGCGCGTTAGGCTTCCTGCAAATTACCACTCAAGGTGCCGGGCTGGCACCGTGGCGGGACTTGCCGCAGGCATCTGGATACAAGCTTGCCTGCACCATTCTGCAATGTCCACACGCACAACAATTTAGCGCAAAAAGAGCCATTCCGCAACTCAAAACCATATGAAAAGCTTCAGCGCAAAGGAAGTTGCATTGCTAAGACATGCGCAGCGCAACCAGCAAAAAAAAACTGCGATGCCAATAGACACTGCAACGCAAACGAAACCGCAGTGAAACATACGAAGTACAAAACAGACAGCTCTGCCGAACACAACAGACAAGGCAACAGACTGAAGTGCAAATACGCAATTTCGCCTCTGGTCGCGGTCTGGGTCGGGGTCGGCCGCACTCCCTATACTTGTGGAAGCCATGACCATGGACACTCTAACAATCCGATCATTGAATTGAAAATGTGTTCAAAAAAATATGTAAAAACATGTTCTATCCGGAAATCATTTGGCAGCACGCTTCCACTCCACTAATCGACTTCCACAACCCTATACGCCGAGGGCGGCCACCCCCGACCCGTGCCCCCCACCCACCCCTTCCTGCAACAAGCACAACCACCCCCGCCCCACCCCCCACAACCACCCTCCACAGCAAGCAAGCCTACTGCAGTTCTGCACACTTGCGCGCCTGCCCTACTACACCTCAAACCAGTCCTGCTTCACGAAAACGCGTGCGCAGGAGCGAAGCGAGAATCCTGCGGAATCCGGGGCAATTCCTCGGGAACCCTGAGAAAATCATGAGAGAATCCACTTTGAATCCTGCGAAATCTTCTGGAATCTTGAAAAGTTCTCGGGGCGTCCTGCAGACCCATCGGAAATCCTGAAGATACTTCAGGAGTGCTGAGGCACCCTGTGGAAACCTGAGGACCCCCTGGGTGGGGAGGTGGTTGTGAGGGGAGAGGGCCACCTACGGATCGGGGCGCCCCGCCCTTACCAACAAGGACAACAGAACAACTCGATTGCAAAACAAAAAACTGCAATGCAAAAAACTGCGCAGCCTGGTCATCGTGGGTACCGTTTTGTACACCCGCCCTCTCTGAATCTCCTCAAACCTCTACCGACTCGTGCGCGAGGCCTGTCATCCTGAGCTGAAGCTCAATCAGAGAGTCCGAAACTAAAGACAGAGCCTGAACTCGTCAAACGCTAGACGCGTGATCTGCGGCCAAGGGTGCCCTGTGTGTTTGAAACTTTGCGCCCAGCCACGCGCCTCACAGCTGAGAATATGCTCGGGCCCAACCCACCCGTAGCTGGGAAGATCAAAAGATGCTGACACCGCTACTCCCCGGACCTCTCCTGGAGCGTGTTCTGACCAGCATTTCCAGGCGAACCCAGCCGTGGCGATGAGGAGGCCCCAAGAGGCGAAAACGAGGCAAGGCTAGCGGTATCAGAGGCCTCCTAGATGCGGTCCGAGTAGATGGGGTCGAAGGATCGGCCCGCACCGCCAATGCATCGCCGATATGTCGGCGACGCATCGTCGACGTCGGCGATGCATCGGCGACGTGAGCTTGCTCGGACCCAGTCCACCCGCAGTCCCGCCCCCGCCATGGCGCCGCAGCCCGAAGGGCTCGCCGTGCTCTCGAAGGTGGGCGCCGGCTCCTCCGCGGGGGCCCGGCGCAGATCCGAGACGGTGGGCGCGCTGAGCGCCTGCGGGGTCAGGCCGCTGGACGACGAGACGGCCATGCGCAGGGTTAGGAAGGCACCAACTATACACCAACACCGATCCTGGCCAGGATCACCCTGGGCCCAGGATCGGTGTATACGCCCTCCTGCCTTGCGCAAGAAGGCACATACACCGATCCTGGGCCCAGGGTGATCCTGGGCCAGGATCGGTGTTGGTGTATAGTTGGTGCCCTCCGAAGGGTGGCAGGCTCCCCAGACCCCCTCGCGCTGTGACAAAAATCACGACCGGAGGTTTTTCGCCATTTCGGCCTCCGGGAGCCCTCAGCGGGCCCCGGACACGTCAAAAACCGACTCAGGAGGAAAAACACCGGTCATGGGAAATGGGTCCAGCCCGCTGGGGAACGACGTCTTAAAACAAATCATGACGTCGGGGGTCTGGGTCTGGGTCCAGCGGCGTCTTGCGCAGCAAGCCTGGCTGACCAGAGCCACAAGGGTAATGCTTTCTTCACTAGTTTTCTGCACGTGGCGCCACTCCTCGTGTTGCCTGAGCTGGTTCACTATGGGAACGCACTTGGGTGGATGTATCTCAAATGTGTCTGGACAACTGCGTCGCGAATAGACCAGCCAGGTCCAGGGCGGTAACTTCAGCGTGAGACGCGGTCCGGGCCTCTACACCAAGCGGATGGTTCTGACAACACTGAACGCTGGTTTCTGTCATTAAGTGGACCGCTCAACTCTGAACGATCACGGCTTTCCGAGACCGCAGATCGCTCGATATCGGCCGATTCTGAGCCACCGGCGGCGCTCAACCTCAAACGCCCGCGCTGAGGCCGCAGCCCAGCCGAGCGAACGCGGCGCGAACCTACCGCACGAGCACTCGAGAGCACGTCCACCTCAGGCCCCCGACGGACGCGGATAACAGCGAGGGGGCGCTGGTCGCGACGGGTGCGGGCGGGGCGGCGGGGCGCGGGGCGCGGCTGGCGCGCGGTGTCCTGAAACGCTGGCGCGATCGAGGGCTGAACGGCCGCGCGCGCGCGCCTGGCCAGCAGAGCAGCGCGCGACCGGAACGACGGAGAAGACAAAAGGAAAGGGATGGTCGGCCAAACTCGGGGCAGCACCGCACACGACGCCTGCTCGGCTCGTGCAAGCCTGTCCAAACAACATCGAGCAACTTACATGTCCACGAGCAGGCTGCTCGACGCCCTCTTGAGCGCCGTGCTCCTGTCCCCGGGCCTCCGTTCCGTCCCGAAGGCTCCGGACGCGAAGCTCAGAGCCGCCCCCCCCTGGGCGACTCGAGCGGCGCACCGCGGGTCGCGGGTCGCGGGCCGGGTCGCGGGGGCGGAGCGCGGGGAGCGGAGCGCGCGGGGGCGGGGCGCGGCATCGTGAGCGGGCAGCGGGCGCAGCTCGCGGGGCGGGGCGCAGGGGCGGGTCCAAAGCGGGGCGCGGGGCGGGGCGCGGGGGCGGGTCGCGGCGTGGGTCGCGGGCTGGGGCGCGGGGCGGGTCGCTGGGCGGGTCGCGGGGGCGCGGGTGGGCGCGGAATCAATCGCGGGCAGCGGGCGCAGGTCGCAGGGCGGGTCGCGGGGCGGGTCGCGGGGCGCGTCGCGGGTCGGGGCGCGGCGCAGGGCGCGGGGCGGGGCGCGGGGCGGGGCGCGGCGCGGGGAGGGGGGCGGGGCGCGCGGAGATGGCGACAAAAACACTCGGGCGGCGCTAAGCCCAGTCGGAGCAAGTCCCGTCGGGGCCAAGATGTTCTGCCTGGTGGGCATCTCACTGGACCTGGTCTCCTCTCGGGCGACGCTGAGTCCAGCTGGAGCAGGACCCATTGGAGCCAAGAGACTCCATCTAGTGAGACACGAGCTGAGCAAGAGCAGCGACACGAATCCGCACTGGGGAGCCCCACTTCAGACGCGGACCCAGTGGCAGCACAAGATCGTTAGGACCCGTCGCCCTGAAATGAATCAAAGCATGCGTTGGCCAGAGGGGAAGGGTAGAGGAAGGAGGGCTCGGAAAGGACTAGGAGACACGAAGGAAAACATGAATGGGAGCAGAAAGCAGCAGACAGACAGACAGACAGACAGACAGACAGACAGGCAGGCATATACACGAGTACCTGAACATAGGCAGAGACACAAATAATCATATGCATGTCGTGAGAGATGTGCTCATCAAGAGGCTGAAGCAGAGAAAGAGAGCAAGAAAGAGAGAGAGAGAGAGAAAAGAGAGAGAGAGAGAGAGAGAGAGACAGAGAGAGTGGGCGGAGAAAGAGCATTTAGTCAGCGCCTGGGCACTCGAGGACTGCAGCTTGGCCAGACCCTCCCCGCGCGCTCTGCCTATGTAGAAGCAAGTGTGTCCTTGCTACTCTTCCCACAACCACACATCGTCATCTCATGCACTTCCCTGCAGCCACATCTTGGCTGTGACTGCCCCTTCCATGATTGTATGGGTAGCATGTTCGCGTGAAGCCAGACAAGACTGTGCTCACAGCTGTGCTGCTGCTGCAGCCAGCACTGTATAGTTTCTTAAAAGCCTGGACCACCACTGTCCAGGGCGCTCTCGGCGCTCCGGGGGTGTTTTCCGCAGGACCTCCCGGTGTTTTCCGCATGACCTCCGGGACGACGCTGTGACGCCCCAAACGACCCACCGACGTTCGCGGAGCTCTCCACCGAGCGCCCAAGACGGCCAAGGAGCGCGTCCAGACGCCCCGAGATGACCTGACCCCCAGACAGCCCAAAAGAGGCCCCCAAGACGCCCCAAAAAGCCTCCGAGAGGCCTCGAGAGGGCCTCAAGAGGCAAAAATCATAGCTGTTCCATCGGTTTTTTGAAGGTTTGGGGGATGCTCGCGTGTTCGGCTTCCTGACGCTCCAAGACGGCCCAAGAGGCCCCCACGATCGCCCCCAGGCGGCCCAAGAGGCGCGCAGGACGGCCCCAAGACAGCCCAAGAGGGCCCCAGGACGCTCCAAGAGGCTCCCAAGACGGCACAAACAGGCCCCCAAAACGGTTCTCACAGGGGGCCCCAGACAGGGTCCCCCGACAGACATTTCGAGCCCTCCGCCCCCAGAAGCCCCCCCCATGAGGCCTCAAGAAGCTCCCAAGAGGTCCCCAAGAGGCCCCAGGAGGCCCCCAAGAGGCCTCCAAGAGGCCCCAGGAGGCCGCCCAAGAGGCCTCCAAGAGGCTTCCCAAGAGAGCCCCAAGAGGCAAGCATCCCAACGAACAACCTCGGGGCCTATGACCCACAACCGAGGCGCGGTGGCGGGATGGGCCGATGGCCATTAGATACATCCCAGCATCCTAGACCGAGGTACAGCCGAAGCATGAAGACCATGGGGAGCCAGGCCTGCCCAGGATCCTCCCGCCTGCATGTAGAACTCCGATTCGAGAGACAAGAGATGAGGGGGATCCGAGCAGCCTTTTCATGTCTGCAGGAACAACAATTTGTTGCGTCGCAGCGCGGCAGAGGCAGTCCGCACGCGCGCCCAAGCAACAGGATCAACAAACATGGCATCACCACCGTCGCGAGGAGCCAGGGGAGCGTCTCTGTTTTGTGGCGTGCCCTTCGAGCCATCTCCAATCTGCAGCTCGGGGAGGCATCGCGGACCTCGTCGCTGGGGGGGCTCTCTGGTGGTGGTCGTGTCGCTTCTCCTCCCTCCGATGTCTATTCACTTGGCGTTCGACGCGCTCGCGAGGCGTCCACAGACCTCTCAAGTGAAGCCCTCCCAGAACGGGGCCAGAGCAGATGGGGTCGGAGGATCGCACCGCATCGCCGATGCGTCGCCGATGCAACAGCGACGTAGGGACACAGGAAATTGGACTCCAGATGGCGCCGCACCACCGATGCACCGGCGATGCGGCGCAATCCTCCGACCCCATCTACGCAGGCACTGTTTGGAAGCTCAGACCAAGAGACTGGTGGGACAATCTGGCTGAACACCAGGACAGACTTTGCGCCACGAGCACGCGGACCGCCTTCCAGCTGGCCGCCCTGCTCGCGGGGAAGAGAGCTCAGCTCCCGAGCCGGTCGCCTTCCCTCCAGCCACGAAGGGGGCTCTTTGCTCAGCGGGCGGGAGAACTATGAAATGAGCTGTGCCTCCATCGGGGGCGCCTGTCCCAGGGCGGCTGGGAAGTGTATGGCCCTACGGTGGGCAGGTGGAGGCAGTTGTAAACTTCCCAGTCGTCCTGGGACAGGCGTCCCCGATGGATGAAAAGCTTGTACCATACATTTCTATACCATTACTCGCCCGCTAAGTCGCCGCCATCCGCCCGCCGTTGCTTTCAGATTAGGCGGTCTTCGGTGTGCCGGCAGGGAAGAGCATCCAGCTCGCGAGCTGGTCGCCTTCCCTAGAACAGCGAGAAACTGCACACGTAAACATAATTTCTCAGAGGTCCGCTTTATTGGATCGGCGCTGCACCCCCCTCCCTGGCGCGCGGAGCGCGCCAGGGGCGGCGCCAGAGGCGCCGCCAGGGTGGCCCGGCGCCAATCCAGAACACCCGCGCGGACCTCCAAGATAATATGTTCGTGCCGTGTTTGTTGCTCTTCGGGGCAGGGAAGAGCGCCCAGCTCGCGAGCGCAGGGCGGCGGGAACGCTACCTATATGAGTGTCCACCGCCCCAGGCCTGGCCCATCCTGGGCACAGGAGCGGCGCCTGTGCCCCCCGCCCTGGCCAAGCCGCGAGGGCGTACACGCCGCCCCCGGGCCCAGAATGCGCCTGGCCGCCCAGCGGCGGTGGATCTGCGGCCGGCCCTGGGGAAACCAAAAGGTACCGATGCCGCTCCTCGCCGGAGCTCTCCCGGGGTGCGTTCTGACCAGAACTTCGAGACGAATCCGGCGGCGGTGACGAGGGCCTCCCAGGAGGCCCAAAACAGGGGAAAACGGGGGAAAGGTAGAGGGGTATAGGTACCTTTTCCTCCCCGGAGGTTCCGGAACCCCTGAACCCACAGAGGCTGTCATCTCTTCGGGCGCAAAAATTCTGCTTCCGCCGGCTCCTGCCAGCCTTCCGGCCCTCCTGAAGGGGCCCAAGGACACACAAATAAATGCACACAAATAAAGATGCTGCCCATATTTTCCCATCTTTTCTGGGTTTCTGTCTTCCCCCCCACTTCCCATATTTTCCAATATTTTCTGGAGGATCGACGATTGCTTGTGTCTGTGTGTTTCTTTTCCTCCGGCCCTCCGCTGGCGGAGCCGCCCCGACGGCGAGGCCCTCTCTGGAGCGCCCCATGCACCTGCCTTCGCTCGGACGTCCATTCCCTGTGCATTCCAGGACTTCGCGCTTGGACATTTTTGTCTCCGCGAGGTGGCCCAGACTGGTGGGCCTGTTTTCCACCACCACCACCATAAGTAGGAGGGGGAGGGGGTCATCCTCCTGCTCCTCCTCCTCTTCGTCCTCCTCCTCCTCCTCGTCCTTCACCCCCTTCCCCCCTCCAACTTATGGTGGTGGTGGTGGAAAACAGGCCCATCACAGACTGCTCCTCGATGGCCCTCGCCGCGGAAAACATGCACACGCCCGAGCGACGCCAAGATGTACAGAGAGCTCGTCGCCCCGGTGCTGGTCGCCTTCCCCTCCGGTCCCGCCCCCTCCGTGGCGCGGCGGACGTCGGTGTAGGTCGGGTTCTGCAGGACCTCGGGGAGCAGGGCTCGAGCAGGAGCTCGACTGCAGAATTGCTTCACCCCACGGCTGATGTTTCGGCCGACTTGTTCGTAGATTCGGCGAACACGAAAAATGACAAGTTCGGGGTGAATCAATTCTGCAGTCGATCTCCTACTCGAATGGGACGCACAGGGACCTACTGCGTAACACTGCTTGTCCTCCTTGGAGGCGCGCCTCCGACCCGAGCATATAGGATTCCCATCTTGTGGCACATCGCTTCCCGAGCGGTGCGGCCAGAAAGCGGCGCCCGCCACGACGCATGTGCTGCAAGATTTCTCGGTGCGCGCGCCGCCCCAGGGGGGGGGGGGGGGCGACGCACGCATGGTACTGGCATGCTGGGGTGACGCCGATCGAATCGGGGATGGACAGACCCCCCTTTAGCAAAACGTGGTTTAGTGAGAACGACCTGAGGCCCAAATCTGGCGGGCGCAAGCCTGGAAAATGACGGCCACGGCGCCCTCTCGAGAACCGAAAACGGACAATTCACTAATCGACGTGTCACTGTTGGGGGTTCTGTCCAGCCCCGATCGAACGGGCGGGCGGCGGGGAGGGGGCGGAGCCGAGGGGCGGAGGGGCCGGGCGAGGCACCCCAGGGAGGGAGCGCATGCGCGGCTGCCCGCAGAGGGAGGGGGCAGCCGAGGCCCCCCCGCGGCGGCGGGGGGGGGGGGGGGGGGCAAGGCAAGGCAAGGCGAGGCAAGGCAAGGCAAGGCAAGGCAAGGCAAGGCAAGGCAAGACGAAGCAAGGCAAGGCAAGGCGAGGCAAGGCAAGGCAAGGCAAGGCAAGACAAGGCCAGGCAAGGCCAAGCAAGAGCCGATGCGAGCCACAGTGCCTCAAAATGGCTGGCCCTGGGACCCCGGGGGGAGGCCGAGAGAGCCTCCCTCGAGGAGCCTCCCCACATGGGCCCCCCGGGAAGCTCCCGGGAGGCCCCAGAGCCGCACCGCAGGGCTGGGCTTTGGCGGGACCTGGCTCCCCCGGTGCGTGCGAGGGGGCGCCTCCCCCGCCCCATCCCACCAACCAGAACTGCCGTCGCCCGAAAAAAAGACCACCTGCGGCAGACCTGGTCCGAGCGAGTCCGGCCAAGCTGGGGGGCTTCGGGGCCCAATCACCAAAGGGCTCCCCTTATCCGGGGTCCTGGCTACGGCGGGTTCGTGTCGTGCCGACCCCAGCGTTGGTTTTTGACACCGCAGGGATCGTTCAACCTTGAACGATCGGCCGTCTCCGCAACGTCCAATCGTTCAACGTCGATCGATTCTGGGTCGCCGGCGGCGTTCAACCTTGAACGCCCGCGCTGGGGTCGCCGCTGGTCGACACGACGCAAACCTACCGTATACCCGACTGGGGGGAAATAGCTGGCTCTCGGATGCGCATGGGCACGCCTGCCGGCGGCTACCGCTGGAGGGACAGTCTTCTCTGGACGACCGCGGGGGCGGCCACGAGGGGAGACCGACCCGCCAGCAAGAGAAGGGCGGACCAGGGGAAGGAAGACGATCCGGAAGAGCAGAAAAGGGGAAACAAATCCTGCCACCACCACGCGCGACACGGCGGCGGGGGAGGAGATGGAGGAAGAGGGGGAGGGCGGACGAGAACAGAGAGGCACCGATGGGGTCGGGGGGGGGCGGCCTTCTCGAAGGCAGAGATGTCCCACAAGGCGAAGGGCTGGGCGAGGCACTGGGAGGGAGCGCAGCGTAACTGCCTGCAGAGAGAGGGGGCAGCCGAATCAACGAACGAACGAACGACCACCGCTTCGGACAAGCGTCCGGGCCTAGCACAGACCAGGTAGGTGAGGCCGTGGCCTCTGGACTCTGGCGACTGGACACACGCAACGCGAGACAGCAGCCGAAATACTGCCGCGGATGCGGGAGGCGGAGGAGCAGGAGTGCAAGGAGGAAAATGAATTCCTGTGCCGTCTGGCTTCGCGCATCGCGTCCCGCGATGCGCGACGCGCGATTACCTTCCCGCCCTCTCGCCGCCCCCGTGGAGAAGCGCAGCCGCTCTTGCCCAGACCGCGACGCGCGAAGCGCGATCATCTTCGCGCCCCCTAAGGAAGAGCACATGGGGGCGACCGACGACATCTGTCCATGCCGATCTTGCTTCTTCAAAATTCGGTACCGGTCGCGACCGACTTGCTTCAAAGTCGGTTGCGACCGACGGGTCGCAACCGATCGATCGCGACCCGTCGCGACCGAGGTTGGAATCGGCCGCGATCGGCCACGACCGATCTGGGTGCCAAGCGGTCGCTATCGATCGCGACCGAGAACGCCCAGTATCCAACGATCCGAGGGGGGGAGCGGCCAGCCGGCGCGCGGGGAGCGGGCGAGCCTCGAAGCCCCGGAGGACGCCCAGGTTGCTGGGCCCTCCCTTCGGCTTGCCTCCGCGCGGCAGGCGCGGCCGGCAGGTGATCGGGACGGCCCCAGAGCGACTCGGATGCCGACGACCTCGACGTCTCCTCCTCCTCCTCCTCCTCCTCCTCCTCCTCCTCCTCCTCCTCCTCCTAATGCTACCCCTCATCATCATCATCATCATCATCATCATCATCATCATCATCATCATCAGCAGCAGCAGCAGCATCATCATCATAAATCATCATCATCCTCATCATCATCATCATCATCATCATCATCATCATCATCATCATCATCATCATCATCATCATCATCATCATCATCATCATCATCCTCATAATCATCATCATCAGCAGCAGCATCAGCATCAGCATCATCATCATCATCATCATCATCATCATCATCGTCATCATCATCATCATCATCATCATCCTCATCATCATCCTCATCATCATCCTCATAAGCATCATCATCAGCAGCAGCATCAGCATCATCAGCATCATCATCAGCATCATCGTCATCATCGTCGTTGTCGTGGACATCATCAGCATCATCATCATCATCATCATCATCATCATCATCATGGCCATCATAATCATCATCGTCGTCAGCAGTATCATCATCCTGAGCATCATCATCATAATCATCATCATCATCCGCATCATCATCCTCATCATCATCATTATCATCCTCATCACCATCGTCATAATCATCAGAATCAGAATCAGCATCATCAGCAGCAGCATCATTATGATCATCATCATCATCGTCGTCGTGGGCGGCAGCAGCAGCATAATTGACATCATCAGGATCATCAGCATCATCAGCACCATCATCAGTATCATCATCAGCATCAGCATCATCATCGTCATCATCAGCATCCTCATGATCACCATCATCGTCGTCGTGGACATCAGCGAGGCCATCATGATCATCATCATCATCATCATCAGCAGCAGCAGCAGAATCATCATCATAATCATCATCGTCAGAGTCATCGTTGTCGTCGCCCTCATCATCATTATCATGGCCATTAGTATCATCATCAGCATCATAATCACCAACACCACCATTACCATCATCATCATCATCAGCATCATCCTCCTCATCAGCATCATCAGCATCATCATCATCGTCAGCATTACCATCATCCTCCCCAGTATCATCATCGTCATCATCAGAAAATCAGGTTCATCATCATCATCGTTATCATCATCAGCATCATCAGCATCATCGTCATCATCATCGTCGTCGTCGGCGACGGCAGCAGCAGCATCATCGTCATCATCATCAGCATCTTCTGCAGCATCATCATCGTCTATCATCATGTGATTCATCATCATCGTTGTCGTGGACATCATCATCATCATGGCCATCAATATCATCATCAGCAGCATCATCATCATTATCATCATCATCACCCCCCCCCTGGGCTCTTGTAGCGACAGGAACACAACGAAAGATGTTTACCGCTTTGAGAGGACCCACAAGAGGCATACGCGCCCAGCCACGTGCATGAACATGGCCTGCCTCAGTCCGCGAGGCGGGCCTCGTGTTACGAGCGCTCGCGCTGATCCCACGAAATTACATCCCACGAAACTACATGTACCCAAACAAACTCCGTCGTGATTGTTTCACCAAATGAACCCCCAGAGGTCTGGACCCCCTCTCTGGGACTCGTTTGTCATCCTGGGCCCCTTTTTGACAGTGACGGGGCCCGGCGAGGCCCTCAGAGACCGAAAATGCGCAAAGACCTTGCGAAGCGGACTCTCTTCCTAAGAATTGGGCGCTCCTCCAGAAGCGAGGGCGCCTGCGACAACAGTGGGCGACTTCTGTGTACGACACTTGTCGTGTTTGTAGCTGCATATCGCCCACTTCTCGTCCTCCTCCTCTTCCTCCCCCTCCCCGCAGTGCAGCTTCCCACCGGTGCACTGCTTTCTCTTGGGATGTATTTGCCGACGCGTCCTACTGGATGCATGGCCTTGCGTACGTGCGTGCGCTCATTTTTAACGAAGCGAGAGGAACAAACAACTGCATAAATATAAACTTTTGGAGGTCCGGGCGGATTTTTGGGATTGACACTTGACCCCCTCCCTGGCTCGCGAAGCGCGCCAGGGGCGGCGCCGGAGGTGCAGCTCCGAGAAATGCAAGGAATCCACGCGAAGCTCCGAAAATGTATGTTTACATATGTCGGTCTTCCTTCTTCGGAACGAGACACTTCATTCGTTCCTTGAGCAAGGGGGCAAACGGATCCTGAGGGCAAAGGGTCCTGGACCCTGAGGCCTTCCCCCAGGCATCCTGAGTCGTTTTCTCACGGTCCCGGGGCCCGTGGAGGGCCCCGAAAGCCCGAAAGCAGAGAAACAACCTGGGACCCGTTCCCCTCCCAGACCCCCGACGTCGTGATTTTTGTCCCAACGTCGACCCCCAGAGGTCTGGACCCCTTCCCCGGGACCGGTTTTCCATCCTTAGTCGTTTTTTTGATTGTCCCGAGTCCTGGTAAGGGCCCCCAGAAACCGAAAATAGCGAAACACCTCCCGTCGCGACTTTCTCACAACGCGAGGGGGTCTGGGCGCAGGGCCCATTTCCCCCGTGGCGAGTTCCTGGATTTCTCCGCCTCCCGGGGGCCCCCCCTGCCAGGCCCCGCCTAGACATCCAGCCGCTCCAGTTGATTTTCGATGCGTGGGCCCTGGAAGTCTCGACCACCTCTCCCCAGGGCTGGCGTTCCGCCCCGAGCCGTTCTTTAGCAGTCCCGAGGCCTGGCGATGGGCCTCCGGAGGCCGAAAAGTGCCGAAAGTCCGCCGCTCCTCCTCCTCCTCCTCCTCCTCCTCCTCCTCCTCCTCCTCCTCCTCCTCCTCCTCCTCCTCCTCCTCCTCCTCCTCCTCCTCCTCCTCCTCCTCCTCCTCCTCCTCCTCCTCCTCCTCCTCCTCCTCCTCCTCCTCCTCCTCCTCCTACCTCCTCCTCCTCCCCTCCTCCTCCTCCTCCTCTCCTCCTCCTCCTCCTCCTCCTCCTCCTCCTCCTCCTCCTCCTCCTCCTCCTCCTCCTCCTCCTCCTCGTCGGGGCGTCGGATCTCTGGGCGGGGGGCCCCCGGGACACGGCGCGGCCCGCCTCTCCGCGCGCCGCACCGTTCCCCCGCGCTCGTTTTCTCTTGCGGCCAGCCGGGGCGCCGCCGGCAACCTCAGGGGCAGCAGCGTGAGGTCGGGCGTGTAAAGAAATTAAAATTATGCTAACGGAGTTCCCCACATACAGAGATTAACGGTTTCGTGGGACCCATTTTCTTGATGCCCTCCTCGCTCAGGCGGGGCCTCCCTGGAGGTGTGGGAGGGGCACGAAACCATGTAAATAGTATGGTTTTGCCTCCCTGGAGAGGTGGGATGGGGCACGAAAGGCGTGTAAAGAAATTAAAACAGGCAAACAAAAGCGCCCGAAACTTGAGAAGAATAAAATTCGAAAAGCCGTCCCCGGACTATTTCTGGACCATGTTTGAACATTCCTCCTGTAGAGGGACAGGCCCGACTTGACGCCAGCGTGAGGAGGCGGCGGGGGGAAACCGACGGCGCGCCTGGGGGGGGGAGAAGGTACCCATACCGCTAGCCTCGCCTCGTTTTCCCCTTTTGGGGCCTCCTGGGAGGCCCTCGTCGGCACCGCTGGATTCGCCTCGAAAGCCTGGTCAGGTCGCGCCCCGGGAGAGGTCCCGGGAGCAGCGGCATCGGTGCCTGTGAGCTTCCAAAAAAAAAAATCGGGCGGGTGGAAGGGGGGGGACCTCAATGGGTGGTGGAGAAAAGAGCCTTAAAGGGGCCCTTCAGGCCCCCCCTTGGGCCCCCGCTGGCTCCATAAGGGACCCTCAAGAGCCCCTGTAGGACCCTTCACTTCACACTCCATTTAGGTCACCCCCCATTACCACGCGCCCGAAGGTGGGGTAGGGTTCGGATTTCGCAGCGAGCGCGGGGAGGAAGTGAGAAGGGGCGGGCCTTCTCAGAAGGCTCGGAAGTCCTCCGACATTCTGAGAAGTGTTTTCTAAGCCTTCCCCGAAGACAACGAGAGCTTCTCAGGAGGCTGGAGGGCTTCTGAGAAGCCCCGCCTCCTTCTGAGAAGGCCTTCTCCTTCTCACTTCCGCCCCCTCGCTCGTCGCCAAATTTAGCTCTGGGGGTCATAACTCGGGCGGTCGTTCGGGACGGGCACCACCGGAACGCCCTCGGCAAGACGCAGCTGCCAGCAAGCATCCCGAGGCTGGAGAACCGCCGAGAACCGACAAAAACCGCCCGAAAGCCTCGAACCTCGAACCCGAAGCTTCCCCCCTCGCTCGCCGCCGAGAGAAGGCGGCGGGGAGAAGACGAGCATCCCCAGACGTCGGGCGGACGGGTTGCTCTTCGGCCCTGGCGTTGTTCCTTGCTTTTGGCCTCCAGGGGTCACGTCTGCGGGCCCCGGGAGCCAGCAAGAGAATGGGCCCGGGGGCGAAAACTACCCCCGGGGGGAGGTGGTCGAGACCTCTGAGGAACGCGGATTGGAAAAATCAGTCCATCGGACGTTTGGGTCGAGCACAGGTTCGAAGATTGACAGAAGCCCCAGGCCGGGGCGAGGCAAGTGCAAGCCTCATGGGCGCCAGCGGGAGAAAGCGGCAGGAAGAAGACGGACACCCAGGCATCCTGCGTCTCGCAAACATAGCGGAGCGGAGGTTATTCGTAGATTCGGCCTCTCGGAGCACTTACAAAGCCTTAGGACCGTCAAAAAAACGACTCGGGCTGAAAAAACGATCCCAAGGAAACGGTCGAGAGGTCGGGGGCTCGCGTCTCAGAAAAACCGAAACGCCGGACGTCTAGGCATCGGGCAAAGATTCGACGATTGACAGAATCCACCTTAGCAAAACGCCCTTGAGCGAAATCTGCTGAGGCACTCCACAGGTGCGCGCCGCACCGCATTCCGAGTGCACCTGGGCGGAATCACGAATAAGCAGCATCGAAGAATAACCGAAACAGAACGGGAAAGGCACACGTACTCTCGTAATCGTGCCACTATCCAGTGAACCCGTG